GCGCTCAGAAAATAGCGCCCAATGCAGGGCAGCCAGAAGGCCCCGAACTTCCTAATGACAAATCATCCCATACCACTAAACTACATGCTAATTGCGCCTTGGCATAAGGACCAATGAGACCCACCAAATTGTTATGCTAATAAGGCATATGGAGCCGCACCAACCAGGTCAGAGCATGAGAACTATATAAGCAAGCCTCTCCTTCCCCTCTAGGTCCTGCCCAACTCATTTGTTTCACAAAGAGCCGAAGAATAAAGCTTTCTGCAGAAGAATCCTGCTGTTGTTGCGTGCTGTTCTTGCCGGCGAGGACGGGGCACGCGACATGCCTTGCTCTCCTAAAAATATTAAGAAGAAGAAAAAAGAAAAAAGTTATGGTACATGTGGTGTTAAATTTATCCTCACTTTGTAGATGAGGAAACTGAGGCTGCATCAATATAAGTACTCAAACTATGCCTCTGACTCTCAAATCCGTATTCTAAACTGTTATTTTATATCGTATTTTCCTGAAGCAACTTTTGAGAATATGGCTCTGATAGTATGATGTAGATACCCCAGCAGTTCACCTTGTTGTAATTTAGTTCTTGCTTAAGCTTAATCTATAGCCAAAACTAATTTAAGAGAAAGAACAATATGTGTTGCGTCTTGGAATCTGGTGTGTCATGAGCAGTGTGCAACAAGAACTGCAAACAGTTCTCCTGATCCTTCTGAGGCAAGCCCAGATAAGGAACATACTGTGAAACTCACCTAACTGGATGACTTGACTCAACATAAGAGGGACTTTAAAAAAACATATTTAGCTTGCAGTTGTTTGGCTCAATGAAAAAACACATCCTATAATCATTAATAGATGCTTGTCTTTCTGCTTGCTGTAACTTAATAAAAGCACAGGGGAGCGCTGACTTGGTGTTTAGTCTCCAGAGAAAGTCTAAGCCCTCTGTTTAAAACGCCATTTTGACTCGGTTTCTCATTTTAGCTATCCCTAACTGCGACGGTATGATGCGCAGGGGTCTTCAAAATCTAGCTTCTACTTCTCCCTTTGACTTCATGTCCTGTCATCCTCCCCCTTGCTCACTCTTGTCCCCGTCAAATTTCTCAAAAATTCCAATTTGTTTCCAGTTTAACAGTTTTTACTTTGCTCTTCTCTCTGCTTGGATCGCCCCCAGGTATTTGCACTTCTTCCTTCACATTATTCAAGTCTCTGCACAAAGGTCACCTCCTTAGAGACACCTTCCCTGACTGCCCTATACAAAACACATCCCATATGCACCTGCACTGCTATCCCATCAGTCTCTATACTATCCCCTTATACTGTTTAGTTTTCATGGCACTTACCACCCCAATGTATCATGTATTTATTTTCATCCCCCACCACCAGAGTGCCAGCTTGCTCACTGCTCTATCCTCCATCCGAGCACATGGCCTACGGTGCTCAAGAACTGTTTGCTGAATTAATTTAAGACTTGGTAACCTCTAGGTATCTTTTTCTTGCATATCTCACCTTACACTATATCAAAGATAATAAAGTACACCTACATTCCACACATCCCACATTAACTTTACTTAGAAAAAGAAGTATCTAACATTTATTGGGCATTTATTGTGAGGACTCTTCTAAGTGCTGTACAAATACTAACTCATTTAATTCTCACAACTCCACAAGGTGGATGTTACTCTCTTTAGAGCAGAGTAAGCCAAGGCCAGAGTTACTTAACTTGTCCATGGTAAAAAAGTTAGTATGTGGCAGAGTGACCTTCAAACCAAAACACTCTGGCTCTAGAATTTTTAATACCATGAAAGTGAGCTGAGGATTAGTTGCTGTTCTAAAATAATATTTTGTAGCCACTTAATTGAAGTTATTAACTTCAGGGTTGTTTTGTTTTCACTTCTTTAGATCTTCTGTATTTTCTTAGGACAGATTTCAGAATGTAATTTTTGAACTTCTTTGGTAAAGTTTATTCCTAAATATTATTCTTTCTGATGCTACTTGTAAATGAAATTGTTTTCTTAATTTCCTTTTTGGATTGCTAATATATAGAGGTACAATTGACTTTTGTATACTGATCTTGTATTGTGAACCTTGTTGACCTCTTCTTAGTTCTAGATTTTTAAGTACATTCCTTAGGATTTTCCATATACAAGTGTATTTGTTTGCTAGGGGGCCATAACAAAGTACCACAGACTGAGTGGCTTAAGCAACAGAATTTATTATAGTCTCACAGTTCTAGAGGCTAGACGTCCATTATCAAGGTGTCAGCAGGATTGGTTCTTTCTGATGGCTGTGGGGAAAGATCTGTTCCAGGTCTTTCTCAACTGGTAGATGGTGCTCTTCATCCTTTTCTTCACATTGCTTTCTTTCTATGTGTATCTCTGTGTCCAAATTTCCTCTTTTTATAAATACACCAGTCATATTGGTACTAAGCCCACCTTAAAGACCTCACCTTAGCTTGATTACCTCTGTAGAGACCCTATCTCCAAATAAGCTCACATTCTGAGTTACGGGGGGTTAGGACATCAATTTATTAATTTTTCTTCGTAGGAGGAGTAGATCCGTGATGGTGGGGGACGCAATGACACAGATTAGCCCATAACAACAAGATCATGCCATCTGTGATTAAAGATGGTTCTACTTCTTTCTTTCTAATCTGGATTCCTTTTATTTCTTTTTCTTACCTAATTGCCCTGGGTAGACCTCCAGTACAATGTTGAATAAACATGGCAAGAGTGAACGTCTTTATCTTGTTCTATCATGTTCTTTTCCCCATTTTTGTTTTTGGTAGAGGACACTACCTAAAACTATGTTTATTTAGGAAGAATGAATAAATGACTTCCTGCTACCACTACACTTTAGACTGGTTTCTTCTCTCCTTCAGATTACTGTCACATTCTCTATGAATTGCCTCTTTTTTAGTCTCCACCAATCTGTTGTTCACACTTAAACTGATTTTTCTAAAACGCGAATCTAATTCAGCTCCATACTTACTCTGCGACCTTGGCTAAATTACTTCAACTCTCCTAAGCATCTTTTTCTTCATCTGTATTAACAGTGTGATAACACTGGCACCTACATCACAGGCTTCTTGAGACAAGTAAGGCAAAACCACAATGCCTGCATACAGTAAGTGCTCCATGGATGTCTTCTATTATTGCTTCCTTAAGAGTAATATATAATTTACATTACTAGTTAGTCCTATATGACAAACTCTAAGTGCAGCAGAGGAAGTTTAAGTGGTTTGCCCAAAGTCAGACAGATAGGTACTGGCCCTGATGTAAAATGAACCCCATGCAGGCTCTTTACCCTGTAGTCCACCTATTACTTGCCTTATTCTCTAACTGTCCTGTTAGAACTTTCTTGCTTCCCATAGACTTCAGCATGAAGTCCAGCTCCTCGGACTGCTTCTGGTAGCTCCAGAAGTCGACTTTGCCAGCCTCTTCTCTAGGACCTCTAGCCCTACTACCTGGGGGTCTTGTTAAGGTGCTCAGCCTCAGACTTGCACTTTTTTGTTCCCTTAGTGAGATACGCTTTCCGCCACCTCACTTGCTCCCACTGACCCTTCAAGAAGCCGTTCTTGCCAACCTAACGACCTCCCAAGATCTTCTTCTGAGGTCCTGCAGCACCTTCTGCTGCCTCTAATACCGCGCTAACCACACGCACTGCGTTGTTTACTTGGCTGTCGCTAATCCGTAAATTACAAGGCAGAGACTACACTTTTGATTTAGCATGTATAATGTCCAACACTACAGAAAGGACTAATGCCGGCAATGAAACCAAATTTTAAAAAGAGCGCTGTCTCAGTTATCCTTTATTTGTAGTCTGCTTTTAATTATGCTGGTGTGAAGGGGACGGCCTTTGTTTTCCCCATGTCTACACGCAGAATGGGAAAGCACCTGTGACGCCAGCTTGGAAACAACTGGTACAAGTCCTTGGAAGCTATCTGCCCACAAAAGCGTATCTTGTTCTCACTAACGAGCCAAGATGCCTTACACTGCAAACAGCAAGGCCTTGGGGACGTGTGCACACACCGCCCTGCTTACTGGGCAGATTTTTAAAAATCAACAGAATGTTTTGGTCTGTTCCCAGTGAGAAAGAAAAGATAAATACGATATCTGGCTGAGGTCCGAGAAAGGCAGTATAAAAATAAAGGAGCTGCGCCACATCGGGGCTGCAGCCATTGTCTATCTTTGTTGTCTGTTTTTTGTAACTTCCCGGTACACCTCAGCAGGTCGCAACATTTGGCGCCCAACGTGAGGCACGACCAGTGGCTGGGAACCAGAAGAGGGAACAACTTCGGGTAAGCTGAAACCGCGATAGTTGAGCTTCTGGCATGCATGGGGAATTCCCCGTCTTTAGAAAAGGAATACCAGCGACTTATACAGGGACTTTTGCATTCTACTAGTATTCCAGCCAAAGACAAGTTGTTAAAAGAATTATTTAGTAAAGTACAGAAACATTGCTTTTGGTTTCGTTTTCAGTCTGAGGTGCAACTAAATAATGAAGCCTGGCGAAAAGTTTAAACTCTTCGCCAGGCTCATCAACAAGGGGACACAATGCCCATCTCCTTATGGTCCCTTTGTAATTCCATTTCTCAAGCATTACAATTATTGGAAAAAAATTCGGAGACAGACGCTGGATCAGTTGATCTCGCTACACGCGACCCTTTATATGAAGATATTGCGGACGCTTTAAGCTTGTCACCTCCTCCAGACGAGGGTGGTGGTCAGTAGGAGAGTGGAGAGGAGGGCTCTAAGGTCTCTTCCGATTCTCACTCAGACATATAAAAACTTACTGGTTTATTAACAGAATTTCTACAGAAATTAACCTTAGGCACAAATCCTCCCGAACCTTCCCTTTCTGCTCCTCCTTTGCCTGCCTTTCCTATTTCTGCTTTTCCTATTTCCGCGCCTTCTCTGCCTCCCTTCTAACTGCCTCCCGAACACCTACTTTCGTGCCGCCTCCGCCCCCGGCTCCGCAGGTGGCTGGACGCTCTTTCACTTTCCCTAAGGACTCTTCACACGATATTAATGATAATGATGACTTTCCACCACCTCCCGATTTCCTTTCATCTCCAACTTCATACCCTCCGAGGACTAATTTTTCACTTTTCCCTATCGATAGACAACCCATCCCTCCCAACCCTCAATATCCTCAAGGAGGAATTGAGGTGACGTATTTACCTGTTCCTTATAAGGTACTGAAGGAATTGAAACAAGCTGTTCAGAATTATGGCCCACAGTCTCCTTTTGTGCTGGGTCAGCTTAATGCCATTTTGGCTGAAAATTTATTGTTACCGGTAGATTAGGAGAATATTTCAAGACAGCCTTGGAAGGATCTCAATGGCTACAATTGAAAAACTGGTGGTATGAGGAAGCCACTTTGCAGGCTCGACGAAATGCCACCCGTCAACCTCCTGGTCCAGTTGAGTCAGAACTTACTGGGACTGGACCCCATGCCACTTTAAAGGCTCAGGCTGGTCTCTCAAATCTAGCTTTGACCCAAGTAAAATCTATTGTGTTGA